AAATTTCAGAAATGTATTACTGGCAGATATGTACACTTAAGATATCTTTTGATAACCATTTTTACCCATCAGTGCTGATCTAAATTAAAATCTACGTAGGTTAACAAACATAATAAGTGCATAACAAAAACTTACCAAACGTTCTTGAATGACGGCTTTCAAAGTTTCCGAGCCTCCAATAACAAAAATTGTTGTCACAAAACGATACTAGAATAAGGATGGCATTTTGAACTAACACTGTCACGGCAGCGAAAAACGCCAGCAACAGAAAGCAACGTGTTTTCGATAACGAGCGCTGAAACCTCATCTCATAACAAAAGGATAAGTTTTAAACTGACTTCATACAAAAAATATAAATTTTCCATAAAGAAAAGGTAAATATCGTGGAAATTTTTGGCTAAGATATACTGTTGTCATAGTTTCCTTTTTTCACCTTAAAACTGTTGTCATGGAACTTGAAAGTAATTAAAGAACAATCTTGACATATTCGAATGTTTCGCACTTGTCCTTTTTGCATGAAAAATAAAAAATAGTAATATTATAAGTTTACTTCAAAAAACTGTTAGATCGCTCTTTCTATCGATTTATCCAATCGAAGATTTTATTTTGATTTTGAACAATTACATATATTTTCTAAGCGTATGAATTGGCAGAGAAAAGTAAACAAAGCGTAGTGGAATTGATGCCATCGACGGTAGCGTGAAAGAGCTTCGTGGTATAATGAATAACGATTGATGTTAGCATGCGATTTAATACAATGATACGTCCTCACGTGCAAGTAAATGAGTAGAATCGATCAAGAATGGTCTTGCACCCATCAAAAAAGCTAAGTCTCGCTATCGAGATGACCGAGGAATCAAGACAAGAGAGCATACCCAAATCACTAGGTCCAAACGAACACCTTCACGGAAACGGCAACAAAAAGAAAGGCTTCAGTGTATTTGGGTGTATTTCAAAACTGTCTAAAGAATTTATTCATGAATTGATAAAGAGACTCTTAATTAAACAAGATTTCAATCTAATGCCATACTCCATTATATGCGGTTTGTTTATAAATCAAAACAATGGCGAAAAAATAGATTACCTCTAAAACTGAGTCTTTTTTTTAAAATAGTACATGTATGGAGTTACACATAAATCTTCCCCCTACCTTTCAGGTAGCCTGCATGATGCTCTACTCAGCATTCATACCAAGCTCAGGTTGAAGAAGAGATTATGCACGGGCAACAAGTAAGACCCGATGAATAAGCCTTCGCCACTTGCATAAAATCAACGAGTTATGTCATACGTTCCAGTCGGTAGTTCAACAAAATTGTTTATTCAAGATTTTCTTTGTGCATTCGTAACCGGAATTTTGATTTCCGTCCTGTGATACTTTGCACATATGTCGGCTGCCAAAAATTCCAGTGTGCAATGGCGCTGTTTTTCACTGAGACCTCGACAAGTTTTTGGCTGCCTTCATTGAGTACGCTCATTTAATGAGTTCTTTGCCACGTTGAGGTCATATCCGACGTTCAAATGTGAATGCCACTGTCTCTAAAGATAAACACATAAATGAAACAAGATATTGGTTTTCATTCATCTGAGATATTATAAAAAGTATCCAAGGGATGAGATGAAAATTAAAAGACGTAAAAACCTTCCTGCCAGGCCATCCCCGGTCTCGTTTCTTTGACGGTTACGAGGCGAGGGGGTCAATCCTATTTGACTACCATGAAGACGCTAAAAAATAGATTGCAAAAGGGTAACGCCTCTCGGTGTTTTAGCGCGGCTTAGAAACTAGCTCGAGGTCGTGTAGAGAGGCACCGAGGATTTACTTTAAGCTTGTCACTGCTCACTTATAGGGCATGACGTGATGCAGGTTAGATAAGATGTCTCCATCCAGAACTTCCAATAAAGCACAGGAAAGTATAATGCCATGTGAGTAGTGATTAATAGAGCTTCTTTTTACTATTGGTCAATAGAAATTAAGCCTCTGAGTTGTGAAAGACAGTAACATAAATCAAAGCGCGATGAGTTTGTGTTAAACGATATATCCTATAAGCCATGGTACCGTTTCACGTCATGCCTTTTAATAGCGGCGCCAACACTTTTCAAGGCTACCAGAATTGTAACTTGCTGCGTTGTATGACAGACATCAAATTACTCCAAGACGTTTTTCCCCTGAGGTTCCTATCAAGTGAAGGAGGAAAAAGCTTCACGACATGATTTTGACATTTCTGACACTGTCACGTCTCTCTGATGTATCCTGTTGTTCACATATCACCTCTACGAAATGAAATTATAGCACATCAACTGGGCATCTTTGTGTTTTGCGTCAATGCGCATTAAACAATTTGATCGCAAACGGAACGGAAATTAGCTTAAAGCCCAAGTAGAAATTTGTTAATTCATCTTGGTCAAACAACTCAAGGGATTATGGAGATACACATGCCGCACGTCACAATTAGAAAATTGGAGCACCAATGCTTAAAGGGGTCATTATGTGGACTTTAATGAAAGAAATTGCAGTAGCGCTGAAAGTAATTAGATTAGTTGCACTAAAGCAAATATCCTCAAAGGACAGCGTCAGATATTGAATAATCCCTCGTCAAATAAATTCTAATCCTATTATCAACTATTGCAGAGTAACTCCAAGATCTGACAAAGCTATTTTCAGGTCAAATCTGTCGTTGCAACAAAACTCCAAGATTAAGGATGTCAACAAGTTAATCTTTTTTTACCTGTTCATTGCACAACACCCGTTGAGAGACCGATTTGAGTTCTTCTTACTCTTTTTTGCTTTAAAAAAAATTGCTTAGCAACCTTACCAATCATCATTTCGGTCTTTTTTTTAATAAGCCAATGCGAGAAAAAAAAAACCTTTGATTTATGCCAGTCAGCAGTTTGCTTTTAGGCTTGATAATTGATACGTTCATAATTTTTTTGCCATTTAGATCGTATATTGCGTAAGAGATAGTTTCCTCTTGCTCAAAAAAACAAAAGCTATTTCAACGCCTACGCGCGATCTAGGGTAGATAATGCTAGATTTAAGTGGGCCTGCCATGAGAAACAAGCAACTTTGCAATCAAGGCACTGTTGAAGATTCAAGATGCAAGAATAGTCCTATAAAGTGCACCTCAGTGTTTTCTCAGACCGGCGGAAACACTTTTTGGACTGTAGTCTTCCGGTTAAAGCTCTATAAAAAGTGATTGCACAGATTTAAAGAACCAGTCTGCAGGTGTGAAAATGGAAAGTAAATTTGTAAGTAATTATTCAAGCAAACCCGAAAACGATTTAACTCGTCTTGAGACAATTGTTGTCATAAATTGTGTCCTCAATGTTCCACTAATGCTCGTGTCCATCTTTGGAAACATCTTGGTGCTGGCTGCCATTCTAAAAACATCATCTACTTCATCTATTTCTTCTCCAAGCACAGTTTTCCTCTACAGTTTGGCCCTTTCAGATCTTCTCGTTGGCGTGGTTGTACAACCGGTTTACATTGCAAATGCCGCAACTGGGATGACTTATCTGCAGACAACTATGGCTACCTTAGCCTTTGCAGCTAGCGGTGTCTCCCTCTTCACTATGACAGCCATAGCAGTTGATCGTTCCTTATCTCTTCACTATCACATGCGATACCCGCAACTGATGACAACAAGTCGCGCCAGGTACCTAATGGTAACTCTTTGGATCATCGCCGTGTTGCTATCCTTCTCGCATCATCTGAGCGATCTCACCTACTTCCTAGTCATTGCTCTCTGTATCATCCTTTGCCTTATGACTTGCAGTGCTTGTTACATTGATATTTATCGTATTGTTCGCCAGCATCAGTTACAAATTCAAGCCCAACAACAAGCGGTATTAAATGCTGAATATAATCATACCGTGAAGAAATCAACCAAAAGTGCCAAAAACACTTTTATCTATTTCATTACTATGGTTCTTTGTTATTTGCCGATGTTTATCACCAAGGCAATAACTTCCGTTTTCCCCGATCTGTGGACAAATGAATGGATCTTCACAGAAACGGTCGTGTTCATGAACTCAGCCATCAATCCCTTCCTATACTGTTGGCGCCTTCGCGAGCTCCGGGTGGCAGTTTTAAAGATATTACAGTGAATCTCAGGTCGACAGATGGAGGAGAACTGGTAGGCTTAATGAAAATTGCTGACTCATCGTAGCAGAGACACCGGTACATGAAGACATAAGGCTGTTTGTGTTCAGCAACCAGATTATGAACTACCACTAACAAGACACCTTGTTTTAATGTCGAGGTTTATACAAGAGAAACTCGAATTTAGATTTTTATTACAGTATAACCATGAAATATTTAACATAATACAAATACATTTTATTATTACGGCTCCCCTATGCGAGGCTATTCTGTCGTAATATGCCATGATAGTAAATACACGATAATAAACTACAATGGGGGGAAAATATATACATGTGTTGCAAAAAAAAAAAAAAGAGTAATGAAGTCTAGAAAACCTCTTAGAGATAAACAAGACATCATCCGTAAGATTTTGATTAAAACTCTGAGTGACTTATCCTATATCTATCGGTTGACTTGAGTGAAAATTTCCAAATGTTTAATGCTGGTAATTTGAAAAAGAAAAAAAAATATTTGGATTGAAGGAGAGCTTTTCCCCCGTGGTTCCTCAGGATCTTTACCCGAGCAAGTTTTTTTTCACATAACTCTTATTGCAAAACCTTGATGCAAAAATACATAAATATTTCAAAGCGTGATTCGTTTGCATTCAGAAGACAATAAAAGATAAACGGGTCATGAAAACGTTTTGAATTAAGTTTAGCATTGATGTCTCTAGAAACAGTGGAGATGTGTCTCATAAATACCTGCTGCACGGTCGTCTGATATTGTCATCACTCGTATGATTACAGACCAAATTGGACTCCACTCAGTCATATTACTTTAACCTTTTTAAAATTGAGAATATACCTAATAAAAATGTAGAAAAAGTAATTAAAGGTTCTTGAAGCTACGTTTCCTGATATCTTTTATCTTTATAGAAGATATCGGTCTGAGAATACACTGAGGTGCACTTTAAAGGACTATTCTTGCATCCTGAATCTTCAACAGTGCCTTGATTGCAAAGTTGCTTCTTTTTTATGGCAGGTCTACTTAAATCTAGCATTACCTACCCTAGATCGCGCGTAGGCGTTGGAATAGCTTATGTTTTTTTGAGTAAGCGGAAACTATCTCTTACGCAATCGATTTAAATGGCCAAAAAATTATAATATTTCGGGGGTTTTCAATCCGCAAGTGAAATTTTTTTTAAATGATTTGATCGTAAAATCGTTTGAATGACCAAAGTAATTGCATACCCAGCTAGCGATATTGATAAAATAATAAAACTTGATTGTGTAAATCATTTTAAAATTATAAATTACTAGATCAATTTAAAACCCAGCAAGTGCTTTAAAAGAAAAAAAAACTGGACTTCCGTCACAGATGGCTTTGTATTGTTCCAGTCTCAACGGACAGGGTGAAAAACATATCTTTTGAAAAGACAATCAAACCTTTGAAAATGGTTAACGAACTGGAGCATTGTATGTGCTGAGGTTTTAAAAACTCCTACGCATATCTGATGACATGGTTGAATTCAACAAAGAGTTGTTACAAGCTAAGCTGACTAACTAACCTCTTTACACATCGCAAATTATACACTTATTTTCGACCTGTACCAATAATAGCAAGCAAGCAGAAATTATGCGTAAGGAGAAACACGCCTGACAATTTCTGACAATATATTCATGTATGTTCCTCTCTTAACTTTCTCTTATTCAGTATGATATTACATAGACAGCATGGGTCTGTTTTACACATCAACCTTTTACATCCTATGCTTAATAACACACAGAACAACGTTAGTTGAGTACCTAAGCAACTGTTTATGGTCAGTTTCTGTTCACAATACTTTACGAACGATATAACGATACTCACTGAATAAAAGTGATATTTTCGGCGTAAAAAAATCATTGACGATATTAATTTTTGCCAACTCCGTGTCTAATCCCATGCGTGGGTCTCAGTATTTCACAATCTACCCGGGGGATTGTACATAAGAGCCAATCTGCTTTCATCTCTCGCATAAAACTGTTATCAGCTGCCAATATATTGGCATCAACCTTCAAAATTGGCTTTTCTTCGCTTAATTAAGTTACGCGAAGACAAGCCGATTTTGAAGTTAAATTAAAATTCTGTTCAAATACACAACTCAAATCGACGCACCCCGATACTCCAAAACAAAAGCATATGGGCTAAAATGGTAGACGAAACAAGGACGAATACTCCCAACACATCTGAGACCTTAAACATCGTAAACGTCGCCTTAAATGTGCCGCTGATGTTCATGGCGATTATCGGTAATGCACTGGTGCTGGTGGCTACGTTGAGGACTCCTTCGCTCCGTTCAGCGTCCATAATTCTTCTGTGCAACTTGACCCTTTCTGATCTTCTGGTTGGTTTTTTAGCTCAACCACTTTACATTGCCAGGGAAATAACCAGAGAGAGATCTCTGCGTCAGATAATGGAGACAGTAGCGTTTTCTGTGTGTGGTGCTTCACTTTCATCCATAACAGTTATTAGCGTGGACCGACTAATGGCTCTTCACTTTCACATGCGTTATTCATATGTTATGACTTTAAATCGCGCTATTTGTACATCTGCAGCGCTTTGGTTAATCTGTGTGGTGTTATCCCTTTCGACCCTCTGGCAGATGAATATTTTCCATTTTACTATAGTTGCCTGTATAATTGTTTGCCTACTGATTTGTACGATATGTTATATGAAAATTTATCGCATTGTTCGCCGGCATCAGTTACAGATCGCGATTCAAACTAAACAAGTGGCGAAGGAAACTTCAAAAAACGCTGAAGGACATGAATTGAACATAGTGAGATCGACTAAAAGTGCCAAAAACACTTTTATTTATTACATGATGATGATATTATGTTACACGCCACTCTTTATTTCCATGTTTGTCTCCGCTTTTTTCCGTCAATACTGGAGAGACGAATTTTCTTTAGCGGAGACCGTAGCGTTTATGAACTCATCCATCAATCCTTTCCTATACTGCTGGCGACTTCGTGAACTTCGAAAGGCAGTTGTTAAGACAACTAAACGGATGTTACGGCTGCAAACAGAGTAAACTAGTTTTCGCCAAAACCTTTCACCGATTGTTGAGTCACGATATCTCGAGATTTCAAGACAAAATTGAGACAAGGTTTGGAATGAAAGGAATCCCAGTCATTGAGAGTATACAGTTATCAAATTAATTTATAAAAGGTAGCGAGCCAAAGAATAGATATTGTAAACTGCAAAAACAGAACCCTCATGAAACCCCTTAGGAGACTGTACTAAGGGATGCAGTTGTAAATACATTACTAAAGTTTAAAATGTTATGTTAACGACAATTCTCTTTTAAAACTGACCTAAACACAGCCTACGAAATCAATCGATTATTGTTCAACAAATTTATTCAAAAAAGTTATTAAATCAGTTTAAAATTGACTCAGGTAAAAGAAAAAAAGAAAAAAAACATCTCTCTATCCCTGTTTGATGTATCTTGGATAAAGACTACAGCAGTGTGGGAATATTTCAAGCTGGGTTCAGGAGGCACTATAGCTTTTAGCTAAGGCTAGTCACAAGTTGGTTCCACTTTGACCTGCTACCAAACTAACCACAAGAAAGAATGTTCAATACTTTAAATTCAAACTCATATCAATTGAATTATATGAGTAGAAGCATAGAAGTAAATAGTTACTGCCATCTATATAACCACTGTTATCATCTATCAGCGTCATTAATTATCCTGCTCGTCAGAGAACTTACGTAATATTCCACCAGCAACGTATTTCCGTTTCCTACTACGTTTTTCTCGCGAAGTAATCTACCGACGAGCCTTAATTAAGGAGGAAACTAGGAATTACTAATGGGATATATAATATAGATATAAATACGCACGCATCGCTGCCACTTCATCTTGAATATAAAATTATAATTCATATGTAATTGTGTCATGAACAATTTTCTTATTACTTCCACTGATATGTCAATCCAGCTCAAAATGATGTTTTGCTCGTTTTTTTTGTTTGTTTGTTTGCTTCTTAGAAAATAGTGCCATTTGAGAGAGAGTATGAGAAAAAAATGAAAAGAAAAGAAAAAACAGCTTTACGTCAAAGGGTTCTTAATTACCGTCGTTTTACATAAAGCCTGAATAGACCTCATAGTTGGATTTTTCATCAGCAGTTATCACCTAAGGCTGTATTTGATATTCACTTATACTCTATGGATGTTCCACTGACGCATATTCGCCGCAGCAAATGAACAGAGCGTTTTTTTTAAGCGTAAGTATCTTGTAAACACGCGTTAATAAGGCTGTGTTGACATAAAAACAGGTTGTTTTTAATAAGTTTCAGATAGCGACTTGACAGCACAGTGTTGCACGTAGCGTAAATCAAAGAAAGAAATAAGGGAAAATAATAAAACTATAACATTTAGGAAGATTTGTATGCTAATTACTCGTCAGAAAAAAAGATCGACACTCCGCCAACTGATGCTGGATCATCAAAAGAGTTCTTTGATGATGTCAAGCGCTTAAGTACCAGCGTATGTGTTGAGATTTGTGGCTTTTGGTGCATTTGCCAACGATAACCATTGAGGTGAAGTACTTACAGCAGAAAGGAAAGAATATTAGATCGCAAAAACAGGTATGGCGACGACAAATCAAACAAAGCACTTTGAAAACAACGATGGTGATTCTAGTCTAGAGACTGTCGAGATCATTCATTGTATTTTCAATGCTTTCCTTATTCCTATATCCATTACTGGTAACACTCTGGTTCTAGTTGCTATATTGAGATCCCCTTCGCTTCGTTCACCGAGCATAATTTTGCTCTGCTGTCTAGCTGTTTCCGATCTTTTTGTTGGAATCCTAGTACAACCAAGTTTTATCGTTTATCACTTAACAAAGAGCTCCAATTTCTACAAAGCAATGACAGCAACGAGCTTCGTGGCATGTGGTGTTTCTCTGTGGACAATGGGTGCAATAGCCGTGGATCGGTGCATAGCTCTTCACTATCACCTCAGATACGTGCAGTTGGTGACAACTCGTCGTGCAATTTACCTTTCGATAACTCTTTGGATTGTTGCTTTTATCTTTCTATTCTTAACGCTATTGGAAAACCATGTCTTTGCCGTGACTGTGGCTGTTAGCACCGCCACTTGCCTATTGACCTGCCTGGCTTGTTACGTAAGAATTTATTTTATTGTTCGCCGACATCAGCTTCAGATCATGGTCCAACAAAGGGCAGTAGCAGGTAGTATCAATGGAAATAATCATAACATGCGAGAGTCGAGAAATACGGCAACAAACACTTTTATCTTTTACATTGTACTGATAATGTGTTATACACCTCTATCAGTTACTTGGTTAGTTGTAGCGATTTCCCCAACTTACAGATGGCCAATGGAATGGATCGTGGCCGACACTTTGTTGTTCATGAACTCATCAATCAACCCGTTTCTATACTGTTGGCGTCTCCGCGAGCTTCGAGAGGCAGTTGTAAACATGGCAAAGCAGATATCTTGCAAGTAAAATTAATGAGTCTAACAACTATAAAGATGCAAAACAAACTACTCTAATTTGTAAGATTTAGCTCTAATTTGTAAGATTTAGCGGTCTTTTGTGTCGCTACATCGGTATATGCTTTCCTACCTACTGAGTTTGCCACTTTTGGGTGAAAAGGGGAAAATTATTTCACGCGTCGATTAAACTGGCTTCGTGTATAAACACAAAGATGAATGAGACATCGAAGTATTTTCACTCTAATGGTACTATGTGTAAAAGGTAAATAGCATTAGTAATAGTAGTAATAGTCGTCCAAAACATTCCTATTAGATTTTTATTCTTATTGTATTCGGTAGACTACTTTATTAATCAGGGCTTCCTTGCAGTCAGTTCATTAATTTTATAAAGCTGGTTTCCCATGGTATACGTCGAGGAAAAGAGGAGTTTCCAAATGCACAGCTTGAATTTTTTGGCTAATTAACTTAAATGCACTCGTCGTTAAAATCGGTCGCAAGTCAAATCGATTCTTTATCTTAACATATCAAAGACAAAGGCATCCTGCCCATCACTGGACCATGTTTCTGTGATGAGTTGCTTCTGTCTCATATCCACTGAGTTTTCATCCTCTATGATCCATTCGGGGGAAGCGTCATTATATCAAGAAAATTCGACAATAACATTAACAGATCGGTCGTTATTTTTAATATCCTATCGAAATTTAGCTGTAACGATGGGAAGCTGACAAAATTATACGTATCTGGTCTCTCACTGACTTTCTCTTAGTAGAGCTAATTTGTGATCACGGCTAGATAGTTTTCTGTATTGTTTCTGACCAACAATAAAACAAGATAACTAGCATATCGTAGACCATATCGGAGTTCCTGAAATCCCTATTTTCAAGTTGAGGGTTATAAGTCAATCTTTGTTATAGAAGTCGCATTTTGCAGATGTAGTCTTGCTTTGAAAGTGAGGATTTAGGAATTCAACCTCATCTCTCACAGTGGCCTGATAGACTCAGTCCTGATTTTATTTACTTAACCAAGACGAATTGAGTTCTGAAGTTTGGTAGGTTGATTGTCTTTTTCAAGGCAACAGATGTGAAATTAACTCCAGGGAACCAATTTATATGAATATTTTTTTTGCTTGATGTCCACCAGCACTTCAGCACCCGTTGACACTTGAGCGTAACATGTGCCTATGCTAAAGTTAAAATTTTGGAGAAACCGGAAAGGCGAACGCAATGCGCAGTAAATTTTTATAAATCATGTTTTTCCAAAAAAAAGCGCCAGTGAAAGAAGACCATTTCAATAACTTATTTTCAAGGAGAAAAAGTGATAGATGCATTTTAAGTTTTAACTCTATAATCAAGATAAATCATTTTTGCACGTGAGCAAACAGGTTTGCAGATCGAATTTAAAAGTGAATATGCAAATTTGTCCGTGTGTGAAGAGATTGCATGTTACATGAAATCTATAAATAGGAGCCAAGACCAAATTTGCCAAGAAATATTTCGGGACGTAAGCGTTATTCAAAACAGTTCTTGCTTTGCGGTTTGAAGCGAAAAACGTACAAATTTTCTTGAGTGTACGAAACCCACGAAGTAGAATTCAGTCTGCTTGGATCGTTGTTTACTTGATTTCATGGCCAGACAATTGCGCAGCGTTAAGTTGAAAATTCTGAAAGTTCTACATTTTGAAACAAAATCTCCCGATTGAAAAATACATTTTGGACATCTCATTACTCAAACAAAATATTTATGGGGCCTCGGAATCTTCAAATTAGGGCAAGGCCTTGCTTGGCCCTAATTTGCATCACCTCGGAGAATCGTAGTTTTGTTGATTCGAAAGCCTATTTTGTCGCTGTTAAGACGTTGATGTCCATTATTTCCCAAGCAGACTCAAATGACTACTAAGTTTCAGTGTGGTGCAACCTGCACCAAAGGTTCACACCGTGAAATACTGGCCTGTGAGGGTACAACACCTCGCTGTAACCCGTACTTAGAGGACAAGCCGACTCAAGGAAAGCCGCAGTGTGAAATCTAAGCAACAGAGATGAACGAATAGCTTGATAAAAAACGATCTTCGACAACGTATTACATCCATAAATACAAAAAGGCCGCTCTCCGAGGCTTATGTAACTACTGCAAACTATCCTCGACTATCGCCGGTGACTGGGAACGTGGCTCAGTAAACCAAGTGACAAGCGCTCTGTTCACCGTGACAAACCCCGGAAAAAATATCCCGGGCCATAACATAGAGTGGTTTATATGTTGTGTAAGCCACACGAGAAACATAAGAAATGTTATGTTGTAGTAATTCATCAAAAGAAAAAATGAACCATATTGTCGCGAAAAAAAATAGCAAACAACGAAAAAGTAAACTTAATAATCATCTCCCTATTGACACGTCGACACAGTATGACAATAATTTCCCGAGAGATGAGAATTGCTTTTAGTGTGTAACTTTTGTTTTGTTAAATTCGTCTCGATCAATTATTACTTCGAAAATTAGACAGGTATACCAATGCAGCAACTTTTAACAAGCACTAAAGTTTTCGTCATCCAAAGTCTCGTATCCTTTCGGAAAATCTACTCTCCAATTGACACGTTTTTCCTATGCACCGTGCTTCGTGCAAAGTACTTCGAAGGAACCCAGACTCGCCACGTTTGATTCCCTAGTGTTCACTTTAAATGAATAGAGTGTTTCCGAGTTGTAACATAATCTTTGCTTTCAAACCATCTTTATTATGATGCAAATAGAACTAATTTCCCGAGAAGTCTGGTTTAGAAAGCGCGAGGGTTTACAATTCGGAATTGATTCCAAAGATCGCACGGACCTGATCATCTATCCAGTTGACGATTAAGAAATTATTATAGCTCATATAGCTCCCAATAAAAATTAAAAAAGAATAACATTAAGGATTTAATCAAAGTTTGTATAAAGAGCAATCAGTGATGCACCCTAAAACCAAAGTCTAACAAAGAGCGCTTAAGGAAGAGGATATTTTCAGACAATATCCTGCTGATCAGATTTTCATTTGAGGAAATGATTCGTAATTAAACTCAGAGGATGTTTCAGGAAATTATTAATAATGTTGACAGACAAAAGAATTGAAATTGTCAGAGGAGCCTTCTAAGTTCAAATCTCTTGGAACCACCTGCCATGCTTTTTCCCCTGGATTCCCCGGGCGATTCATCACTTTAGTTTCGCGATGAGGCTCGAGGATCAATACCACTCCCTACAATGAATTCAGGCTACTACTTCGAAAACCTACCTCATGGTGATGTAATTACAAGGATACTTTTGTGGGCAAGTCGCAGTTATCAAGTAAATCAGTACTCATCAACGCGCTCAAAACGGGTTTTGGATGAACAAAAGCAAGCCTTGAGTTTGCTTTTCTCTGAGGATGTCAAAGAAAGGAAATAAAGGGTGAATAGGAAGCATAAACGTCAAAAACACATAACAAATACAGCCATTACTTTTGCATGTAAATTGTGTCTATCTTAAGGTAGTAGGGTAAAAAAGTGACAAAGCGAAGGATGGCTGGTAAACTCGAGAGATACTTTTCAAGTAAAAATACAAGTCCTGAAATCATCGTGATCATCAACTGCGTCCTCAATGCTCCCCAGATTTTTATAACTATCGTTGGAAACACCCTCGTGCTAGTCGCCGTGTCAAGAACACCTTCGATCGGGTCACAGAGCACGATTATGCTCTGCAGCCTGGCTGTCTGACCTTCTTGTCCGCTTGATGGTGCAACCGGCTTACTTCGCTTCTTACCAAACAAAAACGTTTGCTGTTCTCGAGGCAACAAGAGCCATTGGCTATTTTGCAAGAGGTGTCTCACTCCTCATTATGACAGCTGTAGCCGTGGATCGCTTCGTAGCTATCCATTATCACTTGCGATACCCGCAATTGATGACCAAAAGGCGCGTCGTTTATCTATTGGCAGGCCTTTGGATTATCACCGTCTCGTTATCTTCTTCAGGCGTTCTTGATAAGAATGCTTATGGTTCATTATTTCTATTTCTATAGCTTTTTCCCTTTTCACTTGCACCATTTTCTACACAAAAATTGATTGCGTCGTTCGATGGCATCAGCTGACCCAAGATCTGATTGCTAACTCTCCCCTCCAGCAGCTACACATTTCCTTGCAAATCAGTAATGAGAATTTAGTGTAAGATCAAGATAACAACTTCTACCTGATAAATTGTAGTTTTCTCGATATCTGTTTGCAGGATTTGCAGGATAATGTATGGATATTATAGGGAGAAGTTCCATGTTAATCACCTCTGGGAGTTAAAGGGCTACAATTTACAAAGGAATGTTTCGCGGGCTAAATTTTATCTGATAGGTCAACAACTGAAGATGTTGTTACCGGAAACGCATAGGAGAGTTCAACCCTGGACATCAATTAATAATCAGGGCTCCCCCTGACTGCAATGGACACTTTTTGAAATAATCACATTCACGTAAATCCCCATAGGAGCTGAGAAAAAGGAAAGACGAAAAACTCATATTTATAGACATTTCACAAAAAAGCTGAATAAAGTAGTGTGCTTAGAAATAAGATAATTTTTAACACCATTTCACTTAGATTTCCCTCACACACGAAGACAACCGATTTGTAATTAAATTTGAAAGGCGTTTCGGAAGTGTTTTTGATTTTGGAGGAAGTAAAGCAAATATTTTTTTCCTAAGAAGTCGTTCTAATATAGATAAAAACCTGACGCCATGTGCAATACATTTTCTTCCTTTCATCTAATGTGTGCATTCATATTTTGTACAATTGGTTTCATTACGTGATTACGGACCTAAAGCAGTCAGGACTGCGGCGCCAAGGAAGACTTCGATTGAAAAATGAATTTCTGCCTTAAATTAGAACTTCAAAAATGGCTGCATGTGTTTACCGTCTAATACCGCGCCACACCTCAACTTCAGCATAACGTATAACAGAAGCGTAGAGTTCCAAATGGAAATTAAAATAATTTGCAGTCGCGGTTTCGGTTCGCAAACGACGCAAATTGC